TCTTTTCGATTTCCCGAATGGGCTGCTTGTGCTCCCTTGCATTTCAAAAATGCATAAATGTGTGGGCATGGAGTGTTTGCAATGTAACTTTTATTATTGCACAAATCATGTTTTATTATATTGTTTGCTCCATTGAGACAACACTGATGTCATTTAACATTGCAGATTCAAATTTGGAAATAATATGCTTGTGCATGTGTGAAAAAATAAAAATACTCGTGTAATATATGTGATCTGAGAAATGTAGAAATTGAAAGCAATTTTTGCATGAACACATCGCATAATTGCTATTCTATTCTGGTGTGTGGCGATATTTTCACGAGTTAGATGCCAACGCCAAGGTCTGCAAACCATGATGAGAGGGAGTTTTTTCCATTCCTTCATTCAAAGAGTGCAGACTGCAATGGTTTACTATATGGTCCATTGGGTTGCATGACCAAAGTCGCACCACTGTGGCCTGTCTTTAAATTACCGTTTATGAAGGAGATGCATGCATCGGCCTGTTTATGCTTGTGATTTGTTCTGATAATCATATCTGTTAAATGACGATAAAAACCCCATCATCATACCAGAAACATAGTGCAGGCCGGACAAAACAACAAGTTTCAAACAACAACACCACGACGCGTGTCAATAAAGCACTCGGCCTTTGTGCGTCACGATTAAAACAAAATCCCATCGGCAGCTACTGAAGAGCCCCCCCCCCCCCCCCACTGTGTTCCTCCCATTGTCCCAGGTCACCATCGAAAGAAACATGAGCAAATGTGATTGACTGCCAAGCAGCAACAGCAGCAGCAATGCAGAGGTGGACAACTTTGGTGGACTAGTTTCGTCCTCTCATCAGTTGCAGATTTGGTTATTGCAGCAGTTAGCTTTGGTGAGCTGAAAACACGAGCAGCAGGCGCCTCTAGCAGGTGGCAATCTGCACCTCAACCTGAGTATGGTGGCTGACAACATCATTTCTGTTGCCACCAGGACATTAAAGGCCTCCAAACCAATGTAGGCCTATCACCCCACCCCGTACAGCTCTTTCATCTATCCACTGCTGAATACAATAATAGATGTTTTTCCTACTTTATGTTGAGCAATTTGTTACGTTGATGGAATCAGTGAGTTGGAACTCACGATTAAATATGAATTGTTATACCAGGCTATAAAATAATGTATTAACCGATCTTTGAATAGCTTGATCAGACAACACAGGGCAGAACCAATGTGGTGTTTCATCAGTGGCAATGTAAAAACGCTATTTTTATGCTGCGATTTGTTATTTCAAAGCCACACATGGTATAAAATTGAAGGTTGCCCCATTAGAGCCAGAACTTTTATTAGACGTTGATTTTATAGTAGTAATTTTAATATAAATGGCACGTGATATTTAAAATTCATGAATTATATATTGAACTGCAAACATATATCAATAAAATAGAAGAGTATTCGTTGTACATGCATTTACCTTCAGGGCTTTTTGCCCTTAGTAATGATTTATTTTTGAATAAATTAACTAATTAAAATGTAATGGGGATTCAATAGCTCTAATGCTTTCCATATTGTTCCAAACACAAGAATGCAGGTTTTTTTTGTTTAATCAGGGAAGAGCCCATTGAGATGCACATTATCTTTGACAGTAAGACCTCTGTGTATTTATCAAATCACCAAAAGGCGTATAACCATTTTGGACCTATTTATTTTAAATCGAGGACACAGCCGCTCCAATTGAATATCCTGACAATGACAATGTGAGAGCACGTAAGCAGCTTTGATAATCTTACTGGTAAAAATGATCTGCAATATACTCACTAATGGAGCTTAATATTGAGTAAGATAATTTATGTAAATTCCATTTTTTTTCATTTTATCACTTCCCACTGTCTAAGTAATATATTTTTTAAAAGTATTCATGGAACTGATCTCTGCTCATTCCAGATGGCAATGTGACTCATCTCCCTGCACTTCATTCTGTTCATATATTTGTACTCGTGCTATCTCTTCTACAGTTTTGCCAGTCTTGATGACAATTTGTGGATGATCTATGACCACAATACCTTACCTTAGATTGTGTTCCATATCAAGAGGCTAAAATGGTACGCGCAGATGGTCTGAAAGCGGGTAATTCCCATATGTTAGTCTGTGCCAATGACACCGTTTGAACCTTTTGACCATTTTTGACGAAATTTTAGGGAATGGCCCAGGATCACAGTACCTTGCCTGGGATTGCTTCTAAGGTCAAAAGTGTAAAGGCTCGGGCTATAATGCTCCAGGGAGCCATTGTTAGGATGACGTGCGTGTGTGTGGGTAGGATTAAAGGATGGATGAGAGGTTGGTGCTGGTGGAAATGGTGAAAATGCATTTGGAAGTGGAAAGAGGGGTCTGCTAGTGGGGTTTGGCAGCATTTTTACAAATTGCCACAAAGTTCGTAACCCATTTGGAATCTGGAACAATTCAAACGCACCGTATTCCCCATCGCCAGGGTTAATCTCCCCAATCCGAGTTACTCTCTGGATAGAATACAATCTTGCACAATTTTGGCCCCCTCTGGTCAGTGGGTTTATAGCTTGAAAATAATATCAGCACGATACTCGTCTCTGTGACTTGGAATCCATCCATGTAGGCTGCGTACATTTTGAAAATGTCACTGTGAAAATGTATTTTCTGTTACATTTCACCCGTATAAAATTGCAAAGGCCCCGCGGGCTGACTCAACACTGCGGCCAGAATTTATATGGCAATTAAATCATTCGTGAATTAAATTAGTGCTTTTTTATCCCTTTGTCAATCCACTGCTGGGTAAAGGCCCTTCCCGTGCGCCATGCTGGTCAGTGTGAACTGGTGAAGGAGGGGAACCAGGACCACTGACGTTAGCCACGGCTGGGAATTAAACTTAAGAGTTATATAGCACAGTGCAAAAATCACTGCACTGACGCTCTCTCCACAGTGGTTTTTTTTTAGAGAATTTCCAGAATATTATTAGACGATAAACAATATATAATTAACTGGGTACTTGTTTTGTGTAAACAATACATTTTGAGCCTCTAGTCAAGTGCATCACGGTGTGATTAATGACCTTATAGCTGGGGTTTTATTTAAAAATTTTATATGAAAAGCATCAAAGTTACGTACTTTTTTTCTTATTCAATGCAATTTTACAAACGACGACTTGCCCTGTGGGTAGCTTTCAATCATTTTGTCGCGTGAAAATGACTCCTGAACTCTCTTAAAGGCAATCTGAAGTCGATATTGATTCCCCGGCTCCTTACTAATGATGCTGCAAGTGAAACATGAAGAAATGATCCATAAACTGTTGGTGCTGCATTGTAATGTAAATACGTGATATGTATCCACAGTTGGTCATAACATATTGATTCACAGGAAAGCAGAGTTTCATTTTAATAGAATGTATTTTTTGGTGGGAAGCTGTCGTGGTGTAATGGTTAGCATACTGCACTTCCAAAGGTCGGCAGTTTGATCCCACGACATAGCAAATTGAAACAATGATAACTTTTCCTAAATCCCTCTTGTGTTTAGTTTTTTTTTGTCATTCTCCCCGCACCTCCAATTAGTACAATTGGCTATGTATGGTGCGACAGAAGTTAAACATACATGCTAGCAGTACACCACGCAGGCTGAAAATCAACAGGTTAAGCGTGGGTAATTCCACCTCTTCCAAGATGTCTGGCCGGTGTGGAAGAGGCCAAAACACCCTCGAGAGAGGTTCACTTGAGCTCCCTTCAGTGAACCGGGAACGGCATCCTCTAGAGCCGCCCCCGATTGGAGGCTTTCCCCCCAGCAGTGGGCACGAGCAAAACAATTGCTGGGCAACATAGAGGCTGTTCACCTGGCTCTCAGGGGAAGATTTCCAAGTAAGCCTGGCTCTTCATTTGTCTCCCGTGAATGGCAAAAAAGCAATCTATCATCGGTCTTTAGTGGCAAAGAAAATAATAATGTTGGCAGTGGAAGGGTGACTTGGAAACTGTGGTATAGATTTTAGCCAAGTACTCACATGCCCACTAGGCAGTGGTCAATTAGAGTACTGTATAGTCATTTATTGTTCCTATTTTTTGTAGTAGTTTGTAAAAAAAATTGTTAATCATGTGAATAGTTGTGTTCTTAATGTCTAAATAAAACTGAAACATTCCAGTTATTGTGGTTAATTTCCAGCCCGGATTTTATAGAGGAAGGACCACACATCATTTACTAATTCATCAATTCATAAATGTTGCATCTTAGTGTCAGACCAAATCACAGAGAATGCACGCTCAATCTCATCAGATCACGGAAGCTAAAATCTGGGTCGGGCATGGATAGCGCTTAGATGGGCGCCCCTCGGGCATAAGACAATTGTCATAGGCTGCTTCAAAGCTCCATTGTCATCCGTGGGACGTGTGCAGCAAAATCCACTGTTGTGCTGTGTACCAAGATCCAATATTTAAGCTGCCCGCCTGCACCCGCACCGACGAGTTAGGTGAAATATGGTAAAATCACCACCGTGACCTGCGTGGCATGGGGAGGCTGTTGTCTAACAGTGAATTTACAAAAAGGCCGGACACGCGTATCTTTAGTACTTGCTTTCGATAAAGAGCTGAGAACCAAGTGGCAAGACAAACTCGATCTTGTAAGGAGACTTGCAGGATTGTGTAGGTATATTCACGACTGTTGTCATATTTGTGAAAGTTGTGATAAACGGGACTTCCTATATGCTTAGTAGAATATGTTCCTACAATATAAATTATGTACTTGCTGAGCCATGAGATTGGAATGAAGACGTTTCCCATTGTTGTATATAGGAATTGTTGATATCACTTGTTTTTAACTTACAACAACAACAAAAAAATAGGTTGTACTTTGCACCGTAGCTTTCACTGAAAGAAAACAAGCCTACAAACTGCTGCGCTATTATCAGAAAACAACAGGTGCGTGGGTGAAAACGACAATCTTGACGTTTGGTTGACAGTTAAACATATCAGAGTAACAGATGTCGCACGTTGTGTGTCTGAAAACAGGAGACGATAATCGATGAAAATGAGAGCAAGTACGTGGCCATGACTCCATGCAGAGTTCCTCCCACGCCTGCACCTGAAGACGAGGAGCCATACATCACCATGGGCCCCGGCATCACCGGTACCGCGCACGCAGCTAATGAGACGCGTCTCCTACTCTGATCCATGAGTGACTCATTATACCGAAAAAATTAGTCGGTACAAGACAAAGCTCTAAACTCATTTTTATTATTTTCCAGAATTACATTTTATTATTTCGGGATTTTTTTTTTTACAATTTAATACATCGTGCTGCTGTCATGGATGAAATGGTGTGCTCTGCACTTTGCTTCAAGGTAGAATACAATGAACAATTATGCTTTTATACGAAACTATTTTATTTACCAGGTCAAGCCCACTGAGCTCTTTTTCAGAGGTGACCTGGCCACGCATGATTGCTCATCGATGAGGCTTATATCACTTGTGGGAATTTATAATAGCAGCCGAATAATCTAAACGCATGTTCATAAATGTGGAGGGCAAAACTGGAGGACCCAGAAGAAAATCCACGTGACCACGGGAAGTGGGAACACGCAAACAGGCATCGTGAGGGTCGGGATGGATACCATGACTGCCTGTGTACCAGATGAGGGAGATAACATCTCACCACCGTGGCACCCCATTGCTTTTTTGTACGTTATAAAATGTACGTGATAAAATGCACTGCTGGATGAAGACTTCCACATGCCGCGTAGGTCGCTGGAGTTATTTAATCATTTATCCATACTGATCAGTGCAGGTTGTTGAAGGTGGGGACCATAAACGTGGGATCTTAGTACAGTACAACACTGTTTTTTGCTGCATTGTCCTTGGCTGCCCACACATTTAGCACAGCCCCACAGCTGCCTATCACACCCTGGCATGCATGGTGTTCACCCATTCAAATATTATCCAGGCTCAAGCCTGCTGCGATACCGAGATCTGACGAGGTAGGACACATTCTGGGTGATTTGGTCATAGGCATTTTTTTTTTATCATAGACCACTCACAATGCCATACGCAATCTGACATTGAGGATATTGCGACAGTGAAATTAAATATAAACCCTCATGATATATAACAGGGACTATGATGCATGTGGCCTATGGCATAAAATCATCCCAAGGTCATATATTTTCTCATTCTGAAAAGTTATCCTAGACCTTTTCCCACATCACCTTGGCCCCATCTGTCCCTTTTATACACAGGGCATTTTATTTTATTAATAATTATCATTGTCCACATTCTCTACATTACCGTACGGACATAGATAGCACTGACCCGTGGATGCAATGTGTTAACATTCGTTTGTGGACATCAAATAAATATCTAATTTAGCAAAAGCAACTTAAAATGTGACTGGCACTCATCAAAATTCCATTGTTGATTTTTTAAAGGAAGTTTATTTTTTATTTTTACTCATGCAATGTGGAGACGTCGTCATTTTGGTTGCAGCGATTTAAAATTAATTCACTGAATTTCGTAGTCCCTGTGGATCACTGGTTATAATGATCAACTCAATAGAGACATCAGCTTATTTTAATAATTGTAGATTGTTAGCCATCAGCGGGTATAGCAAGCAGCTGTTAATATTGATCGGCCAATTGTATAAGTGATCGGTTAAAGTAATACTTTTCAAGAGAGCACATTTTGTTAGAGTATATTTTTAAATGACAAGGACATGTTCATGTTTCGATGAGGATTACAATAGTTGCCTACTGAATTAGAAATCTGTTGTAATTATATTTTATGAATACTGTGAAAATACAATTTTAACGCAGACGCATTGCCGTAAAAATAGCTTTGTATTAAAACGTGATGTGTAAGGTATAATAAAAAAATATTGAAACATCATCAATGTACATACATGTAATATATATGCCATCTTTGCATCACGAAGGCCCCCTTAATTAATGTAAACTGACTGTGTAAACCACAGTCGTAGGATTTCATTTAATTCGCGTGAAAAAATATTGCATTAATGAGTTCATTTTCAGATAAGAGCCACCTGAAACTGTCAAAATCCAAGATAATTTCAGTCGCGCTAATGTGCGCGACATTAGGCGTGTCATTTTGTAACGAGCAAGAGGAAATTGGTAGGGGGTGATGTCATGTGTGTTGTCTAAGCACAGGGGTTGTGCAAGTGCATAATTTTCTCAAGTCCGGAAGCTGGGGTGAAGCCAGCGCAAACCATGGAAAATTCCCACTGGGTAAAAGAAAATGCCCATTGGGGGGGGGATTTTTTAAAGCCCGAGACAAATTTCTACTCGCGCTCACCCTCTTCTGGGACTTCCCAGGTCACACAGCGTCATAACAACCGCGTCGGCGGTGAACCACAAACGCGTCCTGTTGTTGCCCAGTACTGCCGCAAAATTTTTGGCCCGCTTCTGTGTTTTTGATGAAGACGGTGGTGGTGATGATGACGATGATGATTATAAGGTTGGTTCAAATCAATGCAGCGGGCTTTCTGCCAAATGTGGGCCCCTGTAGGCGCGAAAAAGTTGGCGAAAGATGGGTAGGTTGATACAAGCATTATGAATGACTCACATTTGATAAGGATGTAACATTTTCCTATTTGTGTGTTTTTGGTAATTTTTGTATGCACTTCTGTGTTATTTATCTCTTAATGTAGCCAATGTGTACCAAAAATACAGCAATAAAGTTTTCTCTCATATTACTTCCTACCCAGAACTTGGCAGTCACTATTCTCGGATTGGATTATGAAGCAATTTAATGACTCTGCGTGGACAAAAAATGCAATGGGTTGTGTTTTTTGTTGTTGTCATTGAAACCCCTCTGGGCCAGCAGGCAGTTTTCCATTTCTTCATCGCCGTGTGTGTGTGTGCGCTCTTCACAGCTGAACATTAGCGAATAAAGAACGAACACCAGTTCTGATTAGTAACACGTAAAAGGTAAAAATGTACTCCGCGCAATGTTGTCTAGCTCACACTGCTGAAAGGGACTCCACCAGAGGGAGCTCTCGAAAGCCCCTCCAAAGGCGATTTGGCCTACTCCTCCACACTGATCAGACGTCTTGGAAGAGGTGGGAGTTACCCTACTTCACCTCACCACGTGTGACCTGTCAATCGACTAACTGTGGCGTGGCCATTCATACTCCTGGATGGACACAGGCAGGGGGAGGATATGGAAACAAAATTGCCGCATATTTTCAAACGCCAAGACGGTAAATCGAATTGAAGCGCTCGACCTCTGGCTTGCGAGTCCAGTGTTAACCATTATAACTAGTCCAGTGTTAACTATTACAACTAGTCCAGTGTTATCATAAAGTATTAAAGCTTTTGTGACTGCATAAAATTACTCATTGCTTTTTTCGGTAAAGTCACGTATGTAGAAATACAATAAAATTATATTTAAAAAAAACAATCACGATGTTTCGATCACAGCGCAAGCGATCTTCATCAGGTGTCAAGAACAAATCACGGAGGTAAATACAACAAAAAGATGAGAGACGAGAATTCAACAAACCTGAAAAAACATTATGTGAAGCACATCCAGTCAGGCCAACAACACAGATATTTCCTGGCAGACCACGAATTTCAGAAGAGTGTTAAATTTCGTGTTCAACCTTTGGATTGCACATACCAGCATAGATAGAATGAAAAATACGAGGTACACGGTCAGTAGAAATACATATACAAGTCCACCAAGAGGTAAGGAGGGAGGAAAGACGGACAGGGAGGCAGAGAGAGAGGGGGTGGGGGGCGGAGGGATGTTCATCGAAACGTCGTGATTGTTTTTTGTTTTAATATAATTTTATTGTATTTCTACATACGTGACTTTACCGAAAAAAACAATGAGTAGTCCAGTGTTAACCGTTACAACTAGTCCAGTGTTAACCATTACAACTAGTCCAGTGTTAACCGTTACAACTAGTCCAGTGTTAACCATTACAACTAGTCCAGTGTTAACCGTTACAGCTAGTCCAGTGTTAACCATTACAACTAGTTCAGTGTTAACTATTACAACTAGTCCAGTGTTAACCGTTACAACTAGTCCAGTGTTAACCATTACAACTAGTCCAGTGTTAACCGTTACAACTAGTCCAGTGTTAACTATTACAACTAGTCCAGTGTTAACTATTATAACTAGTCCAGTGTTAACCATTACAACTAGTCCAGTGTTAACTATTACAACTAGTCCAGTGTTAACTATTACAACTAGTCCAGTATTAACCCGTGTTAACCGTTACAACTAGTCCAGTGTTAACCATTACAACTAGTCCAGTGTTAACCGTTACAACTAATACAGTGTTAACCATTACAACTAGTCCAGTGTTAACCGTTACAACTAGTCCAGTGTTAACCGTTACAACTAGTGTTGCAACTAGTGTTAACTGTTACAACTAGTCCAGCGTTAACCGTTACAACTAATACAGTGTTAACCATTACAACTAGTCCAGTGTTAACCGTTACAACTAATACAGTGTTAACCGTTACAACTAATACAGTGTTAACCATTACAACTAGTCCAGCGTTAACCGTTACAACTAATACAGTGTTAACCGTTACAACTAGTCCAGTGTTAACCGTTACAGCTAGTCCAGTGTTAACCATTACAACTAGTTCAGTGTTAACTATTACAACTAGTCCAGTGTTAACCGTTACAACTAGTCCAGTGTTAACCATTACAACTAGTCCAGTGTTAACCGTTACAACTAGTCCAGTGTTAACTATTACAACTAGTCCAGTGTTAACTATTATAACTAGTCCAGTGTTAACCATTACAACTAGTCCAGTGTTAACTATTACAACTAGTCCAGTGTTAACTATTACAACTAGTCCAGTATTAACCCGTGTTAACCGTTACAACTAGTCCAGTGTTAACCATTACAACTAGTCCAGTGTTAACTATTACAACTAGTCCAGTGTTAACTATTATAACTAGTCCAGTGTTAACCATTACAACTAGTCCAGTGTTAACTATTACAACTAGTCCAGTGTTAACTATTACAACTAGTCCAGTATTAACCCGTGTTAACCGTTACAACTAGTCCAGTGTTAACCATTACAACTAGTCCAGTGTTAACCGTTACAACTAATACAGTGTTAACCATTACAACTAGTCCAGTGTTAACCGTTACAA